GCAGCGCCGAAGGGCAAGGACTACGAGCACCTTCTACCGGGCGCGGCTACCGACACGCACGCATGCAAGGGCGCGACAATGCCGATGTGCTCCGATGCTGCTTCTCTCTGGCCCTGCCTCCGACCAGCATCTGACTTGCGTCTGAACAACGTCCGACCTGCGGGCGACGAGCATCCGAGGAGCACCCGACCAACATCGGACTTGCATGTTACAGGACGGCATGGCGCGTGGGGTGGGCATTGGACGGCAGAGGTGCACGGGAGGAGGAGGTGCGCCGTCCAAATGTGATGACCCAAACGAACAACAAACGGACAGCGGGCGGACGCTTTATCCATTTTGGTCGTCCCGTTGGGCCAACTTTTTCGTCCGGATGATCCAAACCGATGAAATGGGTCGCTGGGTTGGAGAGCTGGAAGATTGATACCGCATCATGTTTCTTTTTCTCCAATAACAGAGCTTTATTTTCCTACTAGTAATTGAAATTTCCCTAGTAATTGTGTAATTGTGTAAATGGAATGCACGTTGACATTAGATAGAATACTAGTTGCACGTTGGTATTTGGTAAGATATTAGATGCACGTTGGTATTTGGTGCATGTTAATACTTAGTAAGATATTATTTGCGTGAAAAAATTCATATGGAGTGGTTCAATGTGTTTATAACCAACATCAGTGATGGGCAATTAGAACGTTAAGCGTGTTTGATGCTCGATGCTAAGCATGTAAGTGTTGTGAACCGTAGAATTAGAGCATATGTATGGATAAAATGGATTTGATTCTCCACTTCTACTCTCTCCGTTCCTAAATATTTGTCTTTTTAGAGATTTCAAATGGTTACCACATAGGAATGTATATAGACATATTTTAGAGTGTAGATTCAATCATTTTGCTTCGTATGTAGTCACTTGCTGAAATTTCTAGAAAGACAAATATTTAAAAACGAAGGGAGTATACGAGTAGTTAAAAAGCCAGCCCTGATGTGGTTTCCAGAAGGGGAAATGAAAAAGAATAAAATAAAAACAGAAGACGCAACAGCAGATAAGAAAGGGAAAACCAGTAGAAAACCACTAAAAATAAAATCAGAAAGAGAACCTAGCAAAAACCGTAAAGACCCTAAGAATCCCAAGAAAATATCAAAACGAAAACCGAAAAAGTAACAAATGAAAAACCAGAATAGAAAACCGAGACAGAAAAGGCAGGTGCTGTCGAAAAGAAAAAACGAAGTAAAAACGAGGAGGTAAAGTTAAATTGACCTCGGCCCATTGGCGCACCGGTCTGGGCGTTATGTAGAATATCTGTTACAGCAAGCGGCATATAGAACTTACCATTACGACACATACGTGCACCCCAACGGCACACAATTAGTGAAGCGATTATGACCTACAATTTCCTATTAGAAACCGCGGTTTTGTCTGAAGTCCGGGAGAAAAGGGCGAATCCTGATCGTCAAATCCGTGGTCGGTCAAATCCATGGTCGGTCAAATCCATGGCCGCGCGCGATTGCGTGATTTCATCAACACTAGTGAATATCCATTTCTGAGCCAAGCCTCATTTGCATTCGGTCAAGAAAAACAAACACACACAAAAAAAATGCAATTTTTTTTTGCATGGTAGGTAATTTAGTGCGTGAAGTGCGTTTTAAATTTCAGATTATTTAGACATATGAGTAGCTCCAGTTTATGGGATTTTGAACACACGGGTATAGTATATTAGAATAAAGCAGCAAACAGTTTTCATTGACGTTTATCTGGTGGGGTGAAGACATGAAATCAGATTTGCGGAGCGGATTGAGAACTATACTAAAGAATGTACAGGAGATGACAAAAAACATGGTGTATTTTTCTTAGGCCTCCTTTGGTTTGTGGGACTTTTGTAGAAATTCTATGAGAAAGAAATTTCAATGGAAAATAAAAATCCTTTGAAACCCTTTGTTTCGCAGGAATGGATCTCTATTCTATGTAAGATAGGAATCAATCCTTCACATTTCAAAGAAAAAGAAGTATTAGCCTAGAGTTTCCTAGTAGAGATTAAAATACATGCCACCTCGCTTAATATGATTTTCCTCCTATCTTAGGAAGCAAAAGGAGGCCTTAGTGGCAATAATCCTTTATGATCTTATTCGCAAAAAAAGAGATCTTTTATGATTTTTTTTCTGGAGGCCTTAGTGGTAATAATCCTTTATGATCTTATTCGCAAAAAAAGAAATCACTTACGATTTTTTTTTCTATTCCTATATTAGTGAAGCAATTATGACCTACAATTTCCTATTAGAAACCGCGGTTTTGTCTGAAGTCCGGGAGAAAAGGGCGAATCCTGATCGTCAAATCCGTGGTCGGGCAAATCCATGGTCGGTCAAATCCATGGCCGGCGGCGCGCGATTGTGTGATTTCATCAACACTAGTGAATATCCATTTCTGAGCCAAGCCTCATTTGCATTCGGTCAAGAAAAACAAACACACACAAAAAAAATCCAATTTTATTTTGCATGGTAGGTAATTTAGTGTGTGAAGTGCGTTTTAAATTTCAGATTATTTAGACATATGAGTAGCTCTTAGCACAAAAAAAAAGACAAGTATGCCTACAAACCTCCCCTGATTTGGTGCCAGTTTATAGGATTTTGAACACACGGGTATAGTATATTAGAATAAAGCAGCAAACAGTTTTCATTGACATTTATCTGGTGGGGTGAAGACATGAAATCGGATTCGCGGAGCGGATTGAGAACTATACTGAAGAATGTACAGGAGATGACAAAAAACATGGTGTATTTTTCTTAGGCCTCCTTTGTTTTGTGGGTCTTTTGTAGAAATTTCAATGGAAAATAAAAATCCTTTGAAACCCTTTGTTTCGCAGGAATGGGTCTCTATTCTATGTAAGATAGGAATCAATCTTTCACATTTCAAAGAAAAAGAAGTATTAGCCTAGAGTTTCCTAGTAGAGATTAAAATACATGCCACCTCACTTAATATGATTTTCCTCCTATCTTAGGAAGCAAAAGGAGGCCTTAGTGGTAATAATCCTTTATGATCTTATTCGCAAAAAAAGAGATATTTTCTGATTTTTTTTCTGGAGGCCTTAGTGGTAATAATCATTTATGATCTTATTCGCAAAAGAAGAAATCACTCACGATTTTTTTCTATTCCTATATTATGAAGCAGAAAATGGAGGCCACACAAAGGGACGCCGACCGTGGGGATCGAACCCACGGCCACGTGGTTAAAAGCCACGCGCTCTGCCACTGAGCTAGGTCGGCTTTTGTTATTAACAAGGCTGTACAATATTTAATAGTGCACTAGCAAGGTTTTTGGGTCAGAATCAACAGATCAGTACGGTTTTTAGTTCTTGAACTGTGAAGAGAGTGATCTGGAGGGTAGAAAATGGTTGGAGAAGACAAATATGGTACTATTATGCTCCACATGGATTGGAACAAAGCCTCACCGTTTTCCCCCAGTAACCCCCTACATGACCACCTTTTTTGGTATACCACCAGCACGACACACGCACCAGCCTACCAAAACTGTAACCATCAGACCGTTCTGGCCTACTACCATTAGCTCTACTCAGTGTGTGTCTCAGCGGTTCTCTTCTCTTGAAACCGAGCTCTCCAAAAGCATGGCATGAGGCGCCTGCCTCACCCACCTCAATCCTACTTCCTTCACCATTGCTCAACTCTTGTACGGCGGGAGAAGATGGAACCTCTTGACATGATCTTCCCTCGACCGACAGTGCGACGCAAGCCGCTCCTCGTCCACCTCCCCTGTGTCCGACAACGAGACGCCGTAGCCCAGTAGCCTCCTGACGTCCCTGCCGGTGGGGCTCCGCCACCGGCCGTCCCACCAGGCGTGCGCGAGGAGCGGGGTCAACGCGCACTGGTGCGCCTGGCGGGGGTAGCTCCGGGGCCCCGCGTACCTGCTCCAGGCGTGGCCCCAGCCGGCCTGCGTCGACATCCCGTCGACCAGCAGGTTGTTGTGGATGCTGCTCAGGAACGTGAAGTTTGCGCCCGAGGGCTCATGACCT